GCGAATAGGATCATGACTATCACACACCTATATCTATTGCTATCCCTTACAAACGTACAAAACGTAACACGCCCTGTTGCAGATGGTGTCATGGCTGGGCCAGTTGATGGAGAATGTCGATGTCTCCTGCAAAGCATCTGGCAAATGGGCGCAACTGACCAGACATCATAAGTCGCAGATCTACGCTGCTACGTCTACACGATTCCGCGAATTTGATTGGTCCACTTACTATCGGGTAGCACGCTGAATGTAAGGACACTAATAAACGAGTCAAGGATTCGAAGGAATCGGCATGGTGGCGCTACGCGCAGTTGTTTGTTTGAATTGAAACGGACTGTCTCGAACGAAGGTACACTCTGCAATACCCACACGCTTTCGCGAAGTGATTAGTCTGCGTACTGTGGTGTAACGAGTGAAAAGTGAAGGTATCAATGCATCTATTCTAGCTCTGTAGCCAACTCGTGACCTCCATTCAGAAGCACCCACACAATTAGCTTGCATCCTATCGTATAGTGAGCGGAGTTTAAGCATGCGAATGCAGTATCCAAGAACACATCAGGTGGTGATTAGAGCACAGACCGTTCATCATGTGTAAGGATCCGCATACAGTATCCATGAACACATCAGGTGGTGATTAGAGCACAGACCATTCGTCATGGCAGTCAAAAGGGATTGGATTGGGCTCGCTTTGCCCCTGAGAGCATAAGCAGGAGATCTATAGGCTCAAGTAGTCTTCCTTTGTCTACTTAAGACATTAACAGTTCTAAAGAGCATCAGCAGGTGGAAACCACACCAAACGTGTGTAAAGTAACTATACCTACACCTATGCATCTCCTGTGACATACGAGCGCACACTCAATTACTATGTGTACCTCGACGACCGTATGAAACTCCGCAACCACGCGTAACTATATTCTAATATAATAGCTGTGTGTAAACCTATATAGTATAAGACAGCTGTGTGTAAACCTTCATATTATAGTATAATAGCTGTGGTAATCCTTTATATTATAAGACAGCTGTGTGTAAACCTTCATATTATAGTATAATAGCTGTGGTAAACCTTTATATTATATGACAGCTGTGTGCAAACCTTCATATTATAGTTTAATAGCTGTGGTAAACTTTTATATTATAGGACAGCTGTGTGTAAACCTTCCTATTATAGTATAATAGCTGTGGTAAACCTTTATATCATAGGTCAGCTGTGTGTAAACCTTTATATTACAATAAGATAGGTGTGTGTAAACTTTTAAAATATAATGACAGCTGTGTGTAAACCTTTATATTATAGTAAGATAGGTATGTGCAATCCTTTAAAATATAATAAGACAGCTGTGTGTAAACCTTTATATTATAACAAGATAGCTGTGTGTAAACCTTTAAATTAAAATAAGATAGGTGCGTGTAGACCTTTATATCATAATAAGATGGGTGTGTGTAAACCATTATATGATAATACGATAGCTGTGTACAAACCTTTATATTATAACAAGGTAACTGTGTGTACACCTTTACATCATAATAAGACAGCTGTATTTAAATCCTTTATATTATAACAAAATAGCCAACCAGCCAAAGATCAGCATAAACCCGCCGTACGGTGCCACAGCCCCATAGGCACGGTCTTGGGTGTAGGCGCTTGCGTACACCGATCCGCAGAACAAGGTCATGCCAGACGCCAGGAGACCGCCCACTAACTTGGGTTTACCTACCAACGGAACCATGAGCAGCGCTGTAGCATGTGCGAGATGCATCTTGTTTGCCGTCATCCACATCTGTGCGGTTGTTGTCGGGGTGGCGAGTGAGTCGATACACATAAATGGTTCCATCGATCGCACAGGTGTTTTGTTTAGTGTATTCGGCGGAAGTTCGGTATTCTAATATATATTATGATATGCGCAGCTGTGACATGTGGTCATGGGAATCGAGTGTTCAGTTTCTGTGTGTTCTGTATCGGTAGTGTCTGGTGGTGAGATGCAATGCGTGCCCAATCAGTAGACGTCCCCCTGACCACAACAGCGCAGCGGTGAGGCTGAGCTGGGATGGGGGTAGATACGCACTATTTCATGTCACCCGTATTTTGTATTTGACTGTGCGGATGAGTATAAGCGATAAGCGAGAAATGAAAATATGACACTTGTATTGGTAAACGATACGCGGGTTCGGGGTATTTGTCCCTGAGAGTTGCCAGGGGTCGGCATAGCTTATGCATCACAGTCACAGACCAGGGGTTGGAGCCTTATTCACTCGTGCATATATTGTATAGTTATCATACATCAAGTATTCAACATAGGGATTATATTAGAATTGGAGCTTTGGGGGCACCATATATTTTAGTACTTCAACACATGGGGACTATAGTAGGACCGTAGGTATAGTTCCAAAAAAAAAAAACGCTATGTGTCGTATAGTTGTGCTAAGACAGCGTCAGAGTGTATGGTTTCCCCTATCCGTGTGGTAGAAACACATGAATGTAGTCATCTTGATAGTAGGGGCCTAGTTCGATATCTCCCTGAGCCTATTTACATATGCAGCCATTTCGGATACAACCCCTACTGCCAGTTCAAAGACATAACTGGAAACCACACCCTTGGCACACAGAACTGAGGAAGCCGCATAATTACAGTGAGGAAATGATAATCAGCCTACAAACTTCACGCATAACATATATATATACATACATACATACATATATATACATACATACATACATACATACATACATATATATATATATATATATATATATATATTTAAATAAATTTTATATAT